TGTGCAGGAGGCAGCTGATGGATGTTTCTGTCTCATCAATGTTTCTAGCTCTCTATCCCTCTTCCTTCCTCTCTTTAAAAAAAATCAATAAAATATATTTTTAAAAATAATAATTATTTGTGTGGGGAGCTGTCTGATGCATTTCGGATGTTTAGCAGCATCCCTGGACTCTACCCACTACATGCCAGGAGCAGCCTCCCAGTTGTGACAATAAAAGCATGTCTCCAGCCCTAGCAGATTTGGTTCAGTGGATAGAGCATCGGCCTACGGAATGAAGGGTCCCAGGTTCAATTCCAGTCAAGGGCACATGCCTGGGTTGTGGGCTTGATCCCCAATAGGGATCAAGAGGTAGCCGCCAATCAATGATTCTCTCTCACCATAGATGCTTCTATCTCTCTCCCTCTCTCTATTTTTTTTTTAATTGTCCCCTGGGGAGCAAAACTGCCCCTGGTAAAGAACCATTACATCACACATAGCATAACACACAAATATCTGGAAGCCATTGCAAAAAAGAAAGCCTTTAGACAGAAAAGAGAAAACAAAGAGAAGTCATAATTCTCTTTAAATATCTGAAAAGTTTTCATATAGATGGGGGAACAGATTTCAGATGCCAGAAAGCAGTAGTATTCCCCGTGGGTAGTATGTATGATAAAACCAGCTAACACTTACTCTTCCTAAATGCCAGGCACTGTTCAGTGCACTTTGAGGTGATATTTCACTTACCCTTCACAATAACTCTATGAAGTTGGTAGAACCAGTCCCACTTTATAGATGAAAAAACAGAATCAGAGCCCAAACCGGTTTGGCTCAGTGGATAGAGTGTTGGACTGTGGGCTGAAAGGTCGGTCCCAGGTTCGATTCTGGTCAAGGACATGTACATTGGTTATGGGCACATCCCCAGTAGGGGGTGTGCAGGAGGCAGCTGGTCAATGTTTCTCTCTCATCGACGTTTCTGGCTCTCTATCCCTCTCCCTTCCTCTCTGTGGAAAATCAATAAAATATATATTTTTTTAAAAAGCCGAAACCAGTTTGGCTCAGTGAATAGAGCGTTGGTCTGCGGACTGAAAGGTCCCGGGTTCAATTCCGGTCAAGGGCATGTACGTTGGTTGCGGGCACATCCCCAGTAGGGGGTGTGCAAGAGGCAGCTGGTCGATGTTTCTCTCTCATCGACATTTCTAGCTCTCTATCTCTCTCCCTTCCTCTCTGTAAAAAAATCAATAAAAATATATTAAAAACAAAACAAACAAAAAAAAAAAAAACAGAATCAGAATTGTTAAAGAATACGTTCAAGGTCCAAGAGCTAATAGCAAAAGCAGAAACTGAATACATTTTTAAAAAAGAACTCTTTGACTTAAAAGCTGTTTCTTTCACCTACAATCATCTTCGTAGCCACCATCTCAATCCTACCTGCCCAGATCAGAAGCAGGTCCAGAAAGCCTTCCTTCATCATCTCCAGGGAAGTCTCGCTCTCACACCAATGAGCCCCTTTACAACCTTCAGCTCTTCCTACTTCAAGTTACTCAAGCTACTCTGTCAAGCTCTTCCTTAGAAAACTCCTGGAGGGTGGGGAAACCAGCTCCTCACATTTACACCCCCACAAAGCCTTGCACATACTGGGGCTCAATAAACCTTTTCTGAATGACTACACCATCCCCACCCTCCAAAGCCCACACCGGCAGGAATGTTGAAGCAAGAACTTTTGAGAGATGCAATCCTGCACATAAGCTATAAGCAGAAGATTTTATTGGGAATGTTCTGGGTTTTTTCCAACTCTCGGAATCTGAGTTCAGGAAAAGTCAGAAAGGGAAAGATGACTGGTAACACAGCCCATTGACTGCATCTCCAATTTAAGCTCACAGGGGCTTGCTTGACTATCACCAGATAACATGTGTCAGGGGCTATATGTATTAATGTATATGTGTGTATGCACATACACTTGCTTGAGTATATTACATATACACATATCCATGCATATCTATGAATGCATGTACAGTCATCCCTTGGCCACCATGGAGGATTGGTTCCAGGACCCTGCAGATATAAAATTCTGTAAATGCTCAAGTCCCTTATATAAAATGCTGCAGTACTGGCCCCACTTTATAGATGGAAAAAACATAATCAAGGCTACAGCAGGGTATGTCTACACATCATTTCCTTTGTGTGGATTCAGCAGACAGCTTGGAGAGTGGCAAATTCAAGTTTTGCTTTTTGAAACTTCCTGGGATTTTTTTTTTTCCTGAGTATTTTTGACCCACAATTGTTTGAATCTGCAAATGTGAAAACCATGGATACGAAAAGCCGACTGTACTAGTATATACCTATATCTCCATTACCTCTATAAGAAATTAAACAATGTCTGTACGATTTTTGAGACCTTGAAGCCAACACAAGGAGGTCTAAATTAGGGGCCTCTTTCTTCCCCTAGTATATTAATAAGGTTAGGCAAGTAATACTATGTACATAGCATTCCTCAAAAAATGCCAACACATTTGCTAACTAGTGCTACCTCTCCCAGGGACCAGACCTGGCATCCTCTCAGGAAAATGCCACGTGGCCAAGCCCTGTTCGTGTATGTGGCAGTGAGGAGATGCTCACAAACAGTGGAGAGGGAAGGCAGGAAAGCATCCATTGGAACATTAAAACATTAGTTTGAAAAAAAAAAAAATTAGTTTGGAGGCCACCTGTCAAGAGACAAATACCAGCCGTAGCCAGTTTGGCTCAGTGGATAGAGTGTCAGCCTGCTGACCGAAGGGGTCCCAGATTCGATTCCTGTGAAGGACATGTACTATGGTTGCAGGCTCCTCCTGGCCCAGGCCCTGGCTCGGGCATGTGCAGGAGACAACCAATCAATGCGTTTCTCTCACATCAGTATTTCTGTCTTTCACTCTCTTCCACGTTCTTTGAAAATCAATGGAAAAATATCCTCGGGAGCTACGGTGAGCGCGTGCACAGGAGGACCTGGGGATTCAATTCACTCACTACCCAGCAGGGGCTTAAAACCTTCGATGGTGGAGATGCTTCCACCGCCAGGCCTGAGGAGCTTGGGAGTCTGGTAGCTGCATAGTCTGGCCCTCCCAGCCCTGAGTCTGAACAGCCCCCAAAGGCTCCGGGGTTCCAACTTTAATATATTTCTAAAATAAAATTAGAAAAAAAAGAAAGAAAAATATCCTCGGGTGAGGATTTTAAGAGAGACAGAGAGACAAACACTAAAAATTTATCTTATGGGCACTAGATTTCCTTGAAAAATCCCAATCTCCAGGATAAAGTACTTCTACTATTCCTTTAAAAAAAAGAAAAAAAGAGAAAGAAAGCCCGGCCTGTGTGGCTCTGCAGTTGAGCATCAACCCAGGAACCAAGAGGTTGCCATGCCAGTTCCATTACCAGATAGAGTACATGCTGGGGTTTTGGCATCCATCAATGACTTCCTCTCCCATAGAAGGCAGCCATCAATGTTTCTATCGATGTTTCTATCCCTATCCCTTTCCCTTCCTCTCTCTAAAAAAAGAAAAAAAGCTATGTCCAGTATTCATAGATATAAAAGCCTGTCTTCTTTCCATAGCCAGCTAGTGGGATGAATTCTCCAGGCTAATTTGGGAGGCAAACAGCAGAGCTGCTGGGAACGCCACAGAGTAGAGCAATCAAGCAATTGCTTTGCCCAAGGGCCAGATTCAAAATAAGGGCAGAGATGTCGAGGGGAAGAGCATCTGGCATAAACCAGGCTAGCAGTCTCTCCTCAACTTCTTCAGTTACAGCAAGGGCAAGAATCCTGTACCCATCAATATAAGCCTTTCCTACTGTCACCAGGTGCCTCTCCATGGAATGGAGGTCTTCTGGTTCTTTCTATCCTAATCTTGCATCTCCATCAATGACATGGCATTTTCCCTGTAAAATGTGCAGCCAATCACCATTCAAGAGAGGCACCAATGTAACTGTCCAGATGATGAAACTGGCTGGCCACCTAAGTACAGAAGCCAGAGCAAAATGAAATACATCAACCCGACCCGGAAAGCTTCGAGAGCCAACCGCAAAACCGTCTCCTTCAATCTGCAGGCAGAGTTGGTTGTGTGTTTTGTTCTTTTTTCCCTTTCTTTCTTTAACCGGGTCTCCCCGTTTGGGATAAAGACACTGAAAGCTTTAAAAATGCACTTGTCTTACTCCAGGGGACCAGTTGCACATCGGAGCCATTTAATAAATGGGGCCTACTTTTAATCTTTTCTACTTTTGTAGGGAAATAAAACAAAAAGGAGCTTGAAAACGCCTGTAGTGTAGCGCTTGTCACCAACACTTGACTCAAGTCAAGGCAATGAGGCCCATGACTGTTAAAAATGCATCGCAAAGCTCCTGTCCTGTGCACATCAATCACAGTCACCGTTGAAAACAAACAGCCTTTTTAAAGATTCTTTGATCCACAGTCAAGGGAAGGTGTGAGGACAGGCGAGAAGTCATGGCGACAGGGACAGCCGCTGTCCAAAGAGGGTAAGGAGGGGGGCCGGTCAGCTGCATCTGAGACCTGTTCTGGGTACCCACCAGGGGTACCCCTTCTCTCCAAATCCCCCTCCATCTTTACACCTGCCCAGGCACCCCATTTCGGTCCAACAAACTGTTGTTGGTTTTTGTTGTTTTTTTTTTCTTCTTTGAGACGACGTTGAATGAGAGAGAGCCAGAGGGGCTGATGAAGACAAGCGAGGGAGCGAACCTCGGGATTTGCTGGAAAACGTGTACCTGTTTACTCCCAGCGCCCGGGAGACGCGGAGCGGCGCGGCGCACAGCCGAGCTCACCCCTCAGCGCTCACCCCTCGGGGCCGACCCCGCCTCCCCACCGCCCCGGGTGCGTCCCTGATTTAGGGGCGACCCGCCACCACCCGCTCCCCTCAAAGCGCCCGCGGGACCCTGAGGCTCCCCGCGCGCCGGCCGGCCCGCCCCCCAGGACATCAGCGCGGTCTCCCCGGCCCTCCCCCCCCGCCCTCACTCACCCTCCGCGCTGCTAGTCCCCCCATTACCTCGGAGGCCCGGGTTGTCGTCTCTGGCCCGGATCTTTCGGATTTTGACCGGGCGCCCGCTCAGAGTCGACAGGACCAGACGCTGGCGCAAGAAGTTGCAGCCCGCGTAGCTGAGCGAGTGCGCTGGAGTCGCCATGTGCGCGCCCCGCGCCAAGGCGTGGGCGCCCGGGGCGCGGCCACTTCAGACAGACCGGAGCGGGGTCGCGGGGTCGCGGCGGGGGCGGACGACGGCGGCGGCGGCGGCAACCGGGGTTCCCTCCGGCGCGGACCCGCAGCCCCCGACGTGTCCACGTGGTTTGGAACAGGAAGACGGAGAAACTAGACACCGGGTCAGAGGGGAGCTGGGAGGAGCCGGCGACCGCCTCCCTCCCCCGCCTCCCAGCCGGACTGAGGACGGCCCCGAGCCGGGCGCCGCGCCGCTATTGGCCCGCGCGCGGTCGGGGCGGTGCTCGCGAAGTGTCGCCATTGGCCCGCTCTGGAGCTGGGCGGAGCCCCGCCGCATCGCCATTGGCCCACGCTAGAGGTGGGCGGTGCCCGAGCCCCGGCAACAGAGCGGAGAGGAGAGCGGGGTGGGGGGCTGCCTGGTCGCTCCGACAGGGGAGCTCGTCCGTCCGCCCCCACAGCCTGCGCGTGGTCTCCCCGAGAGTAGGAGCAAGGAGAGGGGACGGCTGGAGTTCCGGGCCTTCTACATGCCGGTACTTAGCCTTCCTGCTTACAGGCAACCACCGGGATGCGGACGGCATGATCTAGCCCGCCTTTTTCCTAATAGAGGAGAAAACAAGATTGGCGCGCTCACTCTGCTGCAACACTGTCCTGAGCGCGCTGCTGGCATGTCCCCTCGCTCCTCTCTGAAACCCTGAGAGGTACTGCATGCCATGCCCACGAGGAGCATTGCAAAGCTGGCAGAGACAGCATGCACTGGGACCCCAGCCTCCGAGCACCAGGCTATTTGCTTATGTGCTTATGTTCTGTGTGAGGCTCCACGCTTGCCCCTTTCACATTGGTCTCTTCCTTTATAGCCACAGCGCCAAGTCAGATCCTCCCATCTTACCTCAAAACGGGTTGGTGTAATGACCCCACACACAAACACACCCCCACACCCTGCTTTTCCCTTTCCTGTCCTCTCCTAATCCTGCACACCAAAAATCGTTCCAAAGATTGGATTGTCAGCCCACTGTTCAAAACCTTCAAAGATGCGTGGGACCCTAATAGGTTTGGCCTGGGGACTGAAGGGTCCCGTTTTCCATTCTGGTTGTGGGCTCCATCCCCAGTAGGGAGCGTGATGGAGGCAGCCAATCAATGACTCTCATCTTTGATGTTCCTATCTCTCCCTCCCCCTTCCTCTCTGAAATCAATAAAAATATTTTTTTTAAAAAATATGTGGTTAACTATCAAATGACCACAAATTTAGGAGCCAAATATCATAATAATATGTGTTTGTAGTCATTCTTGGACAATGTCACCAGATCATGCGTTCCAGAACACATTGGGAGAGAGGAGAGGTCTAAAAAGAGTAAGAGCCTAAATAAGATTAAGGAGGGTAGCTTTCCTTATGTGAACAAATTTCATTTATGAAGAACCAAGCTGAAGGTCTGAGCTGGTTAGTGACCGGTTATTAGAGATATAGGTAGAATTTAAGATAATTAGCCCTTAAATCCATTGAGAAAGGGAGGCGATTCATGCCAATTATTGCCATCTCCCCATACTGCCTTTTAGGAAGTTGGCAGTGGTGATGTGGGACTATTGAAAGCTCCAGGGCCCTAGCTGGTTTGGCTCAGTGGATAGGGTGTGGACCTGCATACTAAACGAAAGGGTTGCAGGCTCAATCGATCAGGGCATGCAGGAGGCAACCAATTGATGTATCTCTCTCACAGCAACCAATTGATGTATCCATGTTTCTCTCTCTGTTTCACTCCCCCTTCCACTGTCTAAAAATCAATGAAAAAAATATCCTTGGGTGAGAATTAACAAACCCTCCCCCCCCAAAAAAAATGACGGAGGGAGGGAATTTGGGGGAGTGAGTAAGATGTTCCAGGTCTCTCTTGAATCCTATTCTGGGGGAATATCAAAGCAAGGAGAGGAGCCATCCCACCAGGAGAGGATTATTTTTTAATACATCATCTCATTTTTAATAACTCAATCGCCTTAAAAAAACAACTAATATCCTCTGTAGCAAAGCTTGTCAGTGCCTCATTTATATCCCTTCAACTCTTACTATTTCCGGTGAAAATCTTTAATTTTTTGCTAACAATGCCTATATCCCTTTGTCTGGAGTTTTCCTCACCTGCATGGAACTTCATAGAACAAGTGTACTGAGAAATTAATGCACCACTCCCCAGTTCTTAACCAATGACTGGTGGGAGTTCCTGTATAAGGATCCCAGTTCCCTCGACCTTTGGGTGAGACAGCTCTGAAATTCTACAGGGTTTCCCAGGGATCCCCAGGGGTCTTAGCACCAGTTGTCCACAGGAGTAACTTGCTCCATTAAGTACCTATTACTGACCTACTTCCCTTCACTGTATCCGCCCCAGATAACCTTCTGATAATTCTGAGATTAACTCCCAAATAAACTACTTTCACTCCAGTTATTGCCCTGAGGTCTTCTTCTGGGCAACCCAAAATAAGTCCTCAATTTTTAAAAATTGAGAATAAATGACCTGCTTAAAGTGACATAGCTAATAAATGGCAGAACCAGAATAGAAAGTCTATCTTCCTTTCTCTACTTCTTCTCCCTCCCTCTCTCTCTCTCTGCCTCTATTTCTATATTGCTCATCCTCTCTCTCCGCTCATATATCTTTGGAATCCTGAATATCCAATTAAAAAGTCTGCCTACCATGCAGCTGCCATGTCAGAGAGACCACACAAAATGAGACTGCCAACTGCTCCAGCTGACAGCTAGCATCAACCACGAGACAATGGGAGTAGCTGGCCTTCAGATGACTTTAGTTCCCAGCCAGCCTCTGGCCAACTAGAGCCACCCTAGTTCATGCCAAATGAGCAGAGATAAGCTGTCCTCACTGCGCCCTGCCCAAATTGCATCTTCCTGAGCTAAATAAATGATGGTTACTGTTTTAAGCTAAGGGTTTGGGGTAGTTTGTTATACAGTGATAGATAACAGAAACTATATATCTCTGAACTCCTTTCCCTGCATTTGGAAGACAAAAGTGAAGTCCCAGCCACATTTTTTATGTTGAAAAGTCACTGCAGGGTACTAGGCTCTTTTTTAGCTTATGTGCTTACCTGATATTGATCTTATTGGCAAGGGGTAGCCCCCAGGCCCATAGTTCCTCTAACTCCTGATCCTACTTTAGCAACTCCAACTGCTGGGCCAGCTCTGCATTTGAACACCATCTTCTGCTGGTCACTCACATCACTGAAGCTGGAGGCATGCAGGTTCTAGCTCATCCTCTAACTTTAGGGCTCCATCACCGGACACAAAGACAACAGCCTCATAGACTGTGGAACCAGCCCCCACAATTATTGTAAAGTCAAATCCCTATGATAAACCTCTACTTAGTGATTTTGCCTCTTCAGCTGAAACCTGACTGGTGCAGAATTCATTATTGAAAGCCAGCTGAAATTAAGGCTCTATGCTAAAGGTTTTCTATATATGATCTCATTTGGTCCTCATCCCAACTAGATAGCTCAAGAGTTGGATTATGAATACAGAGGTATTTTTTATATATAATTATTTCTACTTTATATTTGAGATTATCCATTGCAGATGTTTTTAATCTGCTCATACTTTTACATGATACATGATAAATGGCATACACCTTGCCTTTTAATCACAGATACTTCCATTTTAATGAGGACAAAAGTATACATGGCTTAGCAATGGGACTTTGGATTTAGGGGCCAAAGTAGAAATTGATTCTTCCCAGTCCATAGAGAAAGATTCTCAAGGCCCCATCTCTACTGTCTGTTGGAGACCCATTGATTGTGATATTTCATCTGCTTTCCTATAATTATTAGCCATAAAAATGCTGACAAAATTTGGACAACTTTATGTCCTTGTTTCAGAGCCTCTAGGAGAGGGGCAGGGAGAGGAACTGGAATTTTGTTTTACAGACAACCGTAAATATCTTCACTGACTGTGAAAGTGACAGAGAGGTAGACAATCAGCAGGTGATAAACACTCAGAGCTGAATTTTAAAGGCACCAGCTGCCGACCTTAAAGCCATCATATCATAGTTATGAAACGCTGATTTATAATTATGAAACTTCAAATGTGAATTGAAGCCTAATACACGAATGCAGCATTGTTACATAAATGTTACATTTCTGGTTTTCTAGCACTGCCTTAAATTTCCATAGTTTATTAATTGTCTCCATCAAATCACACTCATCACTCATCAAATCATGTTTCAACATTTGATTTAGACTACCTATATTACAACTCTTTCACTGTTTTAAAATACTTAACCAAGTATTTTTCCAAATTCCAAAAGAATTTATTGATCCATTGGAAATCAGGGGGTATGCTAATGTTCATTAATTGATGAATGGATAAACAAAATGAAGTATATCTGTACAGTAGAATATTATTCGGCAATATAAAGAAATGAAACAGAGAGACCACACAAAGTGATAGTGTCAGCTTTTCCAAGCTACATCATGAAAAAACCATAAAGACATTATGCTAAGTGAAATAAGTCATCCAAAAATATCCACATGTTGTACACTTCTATTTATATGACATGTCCAAAATAGGCAAATCTATAGCGACAAAAGGTAGATTAGGTGGTGTCAAAGTTGGTCATTAGAAAATCCAGACTCCTGTTCCACCTGCTTAGCAAACCCAGAATGAAGAAGCCACCTCTTTCCTAACAGCACCAATAAATCTGGGGTTGAGCTCTCATTGGTCACACATCCATTTCTGAACCAATGGTAGTAATCTGGGAGAACATGTGCTCTGATTGGCCAAACCTGTGCCGCATATTCACCTCCTTTGCAGAGCAAGTATTATCTGTGCCTCTTAAACTACAAAAATGGAGCACGTGCCTGGCTGGTGTGGCTCAGTGGATTGAATGTTACCCTCTCCCTCTTCCCCCATGCACTAAGAGGTCCCTGGTTCAATTCCAGATCAAAGCATATGCCCGGCTGTGGGCTCAATCCCGAGTAGAGGGCATGCAGGAAGCAGCCAATCAATGTTTCTATCTTTCTCTCCCTCTCCCTTTCTCTCTCTTTAAACATGCAATAAAACATTAAAAAAAAAGAAAAAAAAAAAAAAAAAAAAAAAAAAAAAAAAAGAGCCTCTCCATAAGAGAGGGGCTCTCGTAATGAAAAACAAAGTTTTATTGCCAAAACCGGTTTGGCTCAGTGGATAGAACATCAGCC